AACTAAAAACTACTTCCACAAACATTCAGCTTTGATATTAATGAGTTTTTTGGGTTCATTGAGAACATGGTTGTTGTTCAATAATAACATTATTCCTCAAAAATACAACTTGCCTAATAATTCTGCACTCCCTGTACATTTATAGAGCATCTAAAATGTCAAGAACTATAAAAATTTCATGCGTATAAATAGATTTTTAAGAGGATTTTAGCAATGTTCTTTATGATAGTCATATAAATCTTGTGGTCTTTCTTTTCTTTGTGCAGGTGTTTACTGCATTAATCAACGTTACAGCTACCACATGGAGCCACGCTACAGAGGTACTGTGCCACACAGGGCTCTCGTCAGCTGACTCGAACAGTTAGCTAGTGACCGTGTCTCTTGCATTTAAAACCCCAGCTTCTTGTGGCTTGTGCTGAAATATCCAAACTGCATGTGACACAACAGGAGACCTGCTGATTATACTGATTCTACAGGAAGTCCAGTTTAAAATGACCCTTTTATGTACCAATCATCTAGCACATCATCATCCTATCTTATGTTAGATCAAGTTCCAAGTGAACAGTTATTTCTTAAAGTTGATGTGTTTGAAACATGAAAGGCAGCAACTCTGATATGTATATGTAATGCTCTGGATCTTTCCAGAATGCCAGCTCTTGTGGAGTTAAATAAATGTTTTATAGTTACCTACTCCAAAAGGTTTTCACCACAAGGCGTGCCTTTTACCACACCCCCTATTAGTAATAACTAATACTTTGTTCACTGCATGTTACATCCTGGTCTAGGGGTACTGGAACACAACATAAGAAAAATGACCCCGCCCTGGTCCCCAACACCGTACCCAGAAGCTGATGTGTCTAAACTGAAGCTTAAGTTAAGTTAAGCTTCAGTTTAGACACAATAAACCACCTTTCACTTGTAAATCAGCTTCTGGGTATGGTTTTGGGGATGAGGGTCATTTTCCTTTTAAACCTTATGTTGCATTTCAGTACCCCTAGACCAGGATGTAACACTGCACCGTCCTGTTTTCAAACGTGACACGGCCCAGCAACAGGCAATAGGCAACTATTTTTTCTTGCCCTTAATAGCTATCAAAGCACTATAGAGAAGGACAAGTAGAAAACCACAATGTCATGTGCAGGAAAGCTCTAGTCAGATCTCTGGAGGCTTCTGATCACTTCAGGCCCTAAAGATCTGCTGCTACCATCTGGGGTCTGATAACACAGGACACCTTCAGGGCTCATAGAGTGGTGAGGTGTAGGCATGTGCTTTTATTGTTGCGATTTTAAGTTGTATGAAATATTTGTTTTAGGGAAAAGACAAAAAAGAAAATTGAACAGCAGCTGGTGTCGTCTCTTCTGTGGACGAGAGCCGAGATTTGAAAGTAAAACATTCAGAAACTGAACCTGAACTTTGGACTCACAAGTGCTGTCCATCAGCATCCACCCCTGCAACAACAGTATAAAGCTAACATCTTTATTTTTATCATTCCTGCGAGAATGATAAAAATTCAAATATAGGAAAACGTCGGATGTCTGACCACTTTAGTTGCAGCCTCGCAGAGCTGCTCGCAGTGCAGAGTGTGATTTCATGTAGATGAAGAAAAAGGTGCAGCATGCCACACAGGTGGTGTTACTTTACTACCACTGTCACTGTTCCTCTTGATCCTTTCCAGCCTGTGCTCATAGATGTGTTTGTGTCTTTGCAGGGTGAACCCAACGTCTCTTCTCACTGTGTTTTTTCCTCCCTGCTGGAGTCATCCTCCTGCTTTAACCCTCATCAGCCCCAAAACTCCCCTTGGAAACAGAATTCTCCTTCTCTATAACTGAATGCTCTCTTTGTGCCTTGATTTACATTTCCTTTATCTGCAGGTTTTAACCTCAGCTGCCCTTGAGTGCTGCTGATGTTGGTGTTAAAATGTAATCTTTGGTGTCAAGTGTTCCAATGCAGACTCTAACATCCATGTTTCCTAAAGGAAAACTCCTCAGCTTTTTTGTTCTTTACAACAAATCCAACTAAAAGACTACACAGAATATGTATTGATTTTAGAGAGGAATACAGATTATTTTAAATTCTTTGTCGCTCCTACTTAACACATGTTTTCATTGCTTTAAAAAGGACTGAACGTCTCTCACTCTGTTGCTATAGAGGAGATGCACAGCTCCATACAGGCACACTCAGCTTCTCATTTTAGAGTTTGACTCTGGTCTGTTTCCCTCTTCAGTTACTTTACACTGAGCAAAAAGGTGAACAGAATACCTGCATATCTCACTATAAGGTCCATGGATTAGACTAGGACATTTCCAGCCATCTAATGTCTTGAAATGCAACCTAAGCAATGGCAATTTAAAAATTAAAGTGTTTTTCTTATGCAAATTAATATTTTTACCATCTGAATTCCAAAAAGCTGACACTATATAGTGTAAATCAAAATAGAATGAGTTTCAAATCTAAGAAATCAATATATTATTCACAGTAGAACCTAGGAAAAAAAATATCAAATATTAAACTGAAAAATAAAATAATATTATAAGAAAAATATTGCAGCATTTTTATTTGATGGCAGCAACACATATATCAAAAAGGTTGTGACAGAGACGTGTTTACCACTGTGAAGTGTCTCATTTTCTTTTAACAGTACATGATGTGATCAGTTATCCAAGGAGAATTTGGTCACTATGGTAACTAAAATAATGACCAGGGATGCAGGAAATAGCTGCAGAGAGTCGTCTTTCTGATTTGACACACACACAAAAAATCATTTTATGAAAAGCTGGAGTGCTGCTGGGTTAAAATCATCAAAAATGATTTTTTTTAAAAACAGAGCTTTTTGAAGAAGCTTTTTTTTTAATTTTTTAATTAATTAAGCATTGAATAATGTCATACCACACAAGATTAAACACTCTGTGTCTCACTCTTTCCTTAGACTATGTGAAGAGTTCGTTGTCCAGCACCTGTTCCCTCAACAGTGAAAACCCGTACGCCACCATAACCGACAATCCCAGCCTATGTAAGCACTCAGAGAGCAGCTACGTGGAGATGAAATCACCAGCACACCATGAACACACGGCACACTGCTGTTCTGCTGCCATCATCAGTACGACTACAACCACCACTGTGCCTGCCAAGAATGTCTACAACATGGGTACATTTGCAGTGTTTTACATTTGTCTCCTGTTTTCGGTTAATAAGAACATTTTTAGGCACATTTGAGATACACAGTCAAAGTGCACATGCAGAGCAAACAGAGGTGCAGGTGGAGTTCCATTAGCACAGTGTTTGTATGGCTGAATAATATAACCCCAGGTTTGCATTAATAATTCCACTATTGTGATTAGTTTTACTGTTTTGCACTAAAGTATACTCTCCGGCCACTTCATTAGATACACCCGTTCTATTGCTTTTAAACTGTTAGCAGTCGGACGTACCGCCCACGGGACATTGGATGGTTTAGGGGACTAATAGGACTGCAACACAAATATTTAATCAGCCAATCACATGGCAGAAATGGTGCCGATCCTGTCAACTAAAAAGATGAAACTGTGGATGTAGTTCTCACCAAAATCAGGGGACAGAAACCTGGAAAAACATTGCTGAGTCTCACTTTCTGCTGCAATATTCAAACAGCAGCATCAGTAAACAGCATGAAAGCAGGGATCCATCATGCCTTGTATCAACAGTTCAGGCTCCTGGCAGTGTACTAGTGTGGGGGACATTTTCTGGTCAGACCTACAGCCCCTTTGGACCACTTTACCATTGTTCAAACCACGCAGCCTGCCTATGTCCAATATGTGCTCATGTTTCAGCCTGTGTGCAGCCTGTTGCAGGTATTTTTTAACTTACTCTTGTTCTTTTTCTTGATTTTTTCCCCCTAGTTTTGCTTTGTCTTTTCCTTTGGGAATACCTTTTTCTTTAGGACAATGGACTGCAGTGCAACAACATTAGGCTGCGCTCATTGTTTAGTTCAGAGAATAGCTGATTGCCCTGAAGCTGACCACTCTGTTGGCTAGAACAGTGGAGATTCCAGTTGAAATCTTGAGAGAAAAATACAGAGAATGCAGAGGTGGACAGAAGAAGAAACAGAGAGCTGACAGCAGAGAGTATTGGAGAAAGCACAAGTTATAAGCTGCATCTGGCCTTTCTTATCATGTGGAAAGCACAATCATTGATGAATAAAGTGGAGAAGCAGCATTGGCAATGCAGAGGCAATGCTAGATAGACAGAGTTGATGTAGAGAAAGCATGGTATGTAACGATGTCACGCTGTTATGTTAAAATTGATCTTTTCAGCAGCTTCTTAAAGCTATACACAGAGAATTTAAGCCATTTTAAGGCAAAGGGTCCAGCCCAGGACTGGGATGGTGTAACTGATGACGTGGTCTGTAAGTGTAGATATCTGTTGAGTGAAAGGCACACTAAGCAAAAATTTAGCCTACAGCATCTGATGTCATGTCAGGTTGTCAGTCAATTCAATTCAGTTCAATTCAATTTTATTTATATAGCGCCAAATCACAACAGTCACCACAAGGCACTTTATATTGTTTCACTAGCTGGGCCCACATCCTCGATTTAGGTTTTAGTAGATAAAGGTGAATGCTTGAACATGAATCGAGCGGCGGTTTCAAGGCCGTAAAGGGGACTGGTGACGGCTCCCGGGCCTGGCAGATCCCCATGTACTAAATAGAAGTGAAGAAGTTAAAGAATTGAAAAAAGGAGGGACGGAAGGCGGGGCACGTAAACGAGAATGAACAGCTCGCAGAACTGGGGGAACCTATATAGATGAGAACCGGAAGGAGCGTGTTTGGAGGCGTGGTCCCGCTACTGAAATTCCAATACTTAATCTCCAAAAGGTAGACCCTACAATAATATATACAGACAAAACCCAACAATCATATGACCCCCTATGAGCAGCACTTTGGCAACAGTGGGAAGGAAAAACTCCCTTTTAACAGGAAGAAACCTCCAGCAGAACCAGACTCAGGGAGGGGCGGGGCTGTGATTGGTTGGGGTGAGAGAAGGAAGACAGGATAAAGACATGCTGTGGAAGAGAGACAGAGGTTAATAACACGTATGATTCAGTCCAGAGAGGTCTGTTAAAACATAGTGAGTATTGCCATTTTTTTCATTGCTTAATTAGCGTCTTGCAGCCCAACAAACAGCATCTTTGCTATCCTTTCTGTACGAGTCACCGCACTACACTAATAAAACTAGATCACAGAAAAATGTATAGTTCAGCAGGTGGAACTGAACCATGTGCTTTCAAGTATTTTTATTTTTGAAGTTTTTTTGCTCCTAGTGATCTTCACTTTTGCTCACTTCCCTTTTCCAGCCCACTTGTCAACCAATCAGCAATCAGCAGACTTATAGGTAATCCTTGTACATTAATGCACAGTTGTGGTTATGGAGGATTGCATGGGCTAATGTACTGACTAACCTCCTTGGAGAATGTGTCTTGGCCGTGTGCTAGAACCTCAGTTTTACCAGAATTGCGATGGAGGAAGTTAGAGCACATCCAATTAGTAATGGCAGAGAAACGTTTGTTGAGGCAGGGGAAGCTGTTAAGGTTGTTGGGTTTGACAGAAGGGTATGTCAAAACCGTGTGTCATCTACATTAAACTAAACCCATTAATGAGATGGCCCAGGAGTAACATATATTAAAAAAAACTGAATTGGTCCAAGGATTGAGCCCTGGGGGACTCCACATGCAAGCAGTACAGATGAATACATACACTGATTAATAGAAATTCTGAAGTATCTGTTTGATAAGTATGAAGAAAACCATCTGAGGGCAGTACCAGTGGTGCCAACCCAGTTTTGTAGTCTGTTAATAAGTAGCTTGATCAACAGTATCAAAGGCTACAGATCAGTCGAGCAGGACTTGAATGGAATGCTCACCTTTATCTGAGTGCATTACAATATCATTTTCAGTAAAGCTGTTTTAGTGCTGTGGTTTTATCTGTAACCACAAGAGAGTTTATCAAAGATGTTTCCTACAATAATTTGAAGGAGCTGAAGAGCAACAACTTTCTCAAGGGTTTTGAAAATAAACGGGAGTTTGGAAATTGGTCTATAATTATAAAAACAGTGGGATCTAACAAGGAAAGACACTGGCTGTTTTCAAGCAATCTGGTATGGGGCCAGACACCAGGGGGATCATGACATTATCACAGAATTATGACACTCTGTGGTTCAAGTGTTTGAATTTGATGCCTGTAGTACATTTTACTAAGTTTGGACTT